TTTATTATTTATTATTATTATTATTATCATCTTTTGATCTTCAGGTAAAACTGTCACAGATGACAGGATGATTTCACATGATTTTGAAAAAGGTATTGACAGCAAAGGCCATATGTCAGAATTAATTGTTATGCCAAAGTTACTGAGGTTATAAGCAAATCTTGACCTTTCCTGTAAAAGTCAAACTTGAATGCACACCCCCTGCACCCCTTGCTATTGGTCCTTTTTAACGTGATGTGTAGAGCCATGGACAATAGTAGGAAGGGGCAGGGCACAGGATTGGCTCCGTGCCGATCAGCTGTAACATTATGACCGCCCACTTAATATGACTAGGTCCCCTTTTGTCTGCCAATTCAGCCCTGTCCCATCAAGACGTGGTCTCTACTAGTCCAGCCCTGTTAGTTGTGATGTGGGGCCTCCATGGATCGTACTTGTTTTTCCAGCACATCACATCATCATCCCACCACATCTGGAGAATTTGGAGACCAAGACAACACCTCCAAACTCATTGTGTTCCTCAATCCATTTTTGTAGTTTGGCAGGGGGCATTATCCTGCTGAAAGAGGCCACTGTCATCAGGGAATACAGTTTCCATGAAGGGGTTTACTTGGTCAGCAGCAATGTTTAGGTAGGTTGTACGTGTCAAAATAACATCCACATGAATGGCAGAACCCAAGGTTTCCCAGATGAACATTGCCCAAAGCATCACACTGCCTACGCCAGCTTTCTCTTCTTCCCATAGTGCATGCTGGTGCCACCTCTTCCCTCGGTAAGTGATGCACAAGCACCCTGCCATCCACTTGATGTAAAAGAAAATGTGATTCATCAGACCAGGTCACCGTCTTCCATTGCTCCGTGGTCCAGTTCTGATGCTCGTGTGCCCATTTGTAGGAGATTTTGGGGGTGGACAGCATGGGCTCTCTGACTGGCCTGCAGCTACACAGCCCCATACACAACAAACTGGGATGCACTGTGTTTTTCAACACCTTTTGGAACCACCATTCCTTTTGTTCAGCACTTTGAGCTACAGTAGCTCTTCTATTGGCTCGAACTACACGGGGCAGCCTTCGCTCCCCATGTGCATCATTGAGCCTTGGCCGCCCGTGACCCTGTCGCAAGTTCACCGGTTTTCCTTCCTTGGAGCACTTTTGGTAGGTCCTGACCACTGCAGACTGGAACAAATATCACAAGACCTGCCGTTTTTGGAGTTGCCCTGACCAAGTCGTCTAGCCATCACGAATGGCCCTTGCCAAAGTTACTTATATCCTTCCGCTTGCCACATCAACTTCAGGGACAAAATGTTCACTTGCTGCCTAATCTCACCCACTTCCAGGTGCCGTTGTAATCAGATAATCAGGTATTCACTTCACCTCTCAGGGGTCATAATGTTATGTCTGACATGTTATGTATCAAACAGGCCAGCAGCTTCCTAAAAGCCCTTTGGGGTTCATTTCTCTGTACTTATGAAAATAGTACAGACACGGCAAATAAAAAAATAAAGAGCTGGTGCATTTTGATCTGAAGTGTGTGTGAAGACGTTACTTGTATCAGAGTGACAGATGGGTTTTAAAGTTCACATGTATTTAACAATATCCCTGGGATCTAATAAAGATCTAATAAAGATCGGCAATTCCAAGTTGGAAGAGACAGGTTTATAAAGATTAGTATTCGGGGATGACTCTGTGAGTCGTTATTGAATTCCAGAGTTATTTAACGTATACGTCAGTGACGAGAAAGCATATTTGCTAAGCGCTAAAAGATAAATGTGTCATTAGCCACTGCTGTAAGCATAGCATATATCATGCGTAGTAAATCTTCTATTAAATCTGGGGGAATTTGCTTACTAGTGGTAGAGAGCTGCACTTTAGAGACAGACTTGGTTGGTGCTGTTCAGATCAGTCCATTATCTCCATGGCTCTGTATGGGTAGAAATTAACACATTTCGATCCATGTCCCATTATCGATTGATTGAATTTGAGTGATGTTTTTGAATTTCTCTATGGTTTCATACAGGAGTCAGGTTGCCAATGCTTTCTAAAAATTATAAAGAGCACCTATCTTTTGAGGCTTTCTCTAGTGGAGCTGTTTCCTGATAAAATCCTGCTGGCTTCTAGATAGGACAGACTGGCTCCTGAATTCCATATTAATTTGGGCAGGCTGGATCTGGAATTTCTTACTAATTTGGGCTCCTGGCTTGGACAAACCGGCTCTAGAATTCCATCTTAAATTGAGCTCCTGAATTCTATATTAATCTTGGCTCCTGGATTGAACACACCAGATCTCCACTTTTAATTTGGGCTTCTGGATTAGATAGACCGGTTCCGGGATGCCATAATAATTTGGGCTCTTGGATTTGATAGACTGGCTCAAGAATTTCATGTTCATTTGGGCTCTTGGATTTGATAGACTGGCTCTGGAATTTCCTATCAGTTTGGGCTCTTGAATTGGACAGAATTCCATATTGATTTGTCCACCCCTGGTAATCATGTGGGCAATGTATCTATATCCAGAAAACCTGAATTTTTAGAATCCTAGATTTTACAAACAAAGTACATTAGATTAATGACAGATCAGTGAGCCTGGGCTTTATTCAGAGGCCTAGTTGGGTTAAAAATGATACTAAACTCAGGCGTTAAATCTTAAAAA